GGCAGAATCGAATCCACAATGAGGCATGAGATCATCTTGGATCACCCCCAGGTCGCCCGCCCGGGAAAGAGAAAGTTCTAGAATCGGCAGAGAAATTTCCTCCTGCCGCTGGGGGTTGCTGTGCACCTAGCAGCTGGCAGCCTGGCCTTGTCCCCTGGCCCAGGCGAAGGTGGGGTGGGTCCCCGATTCCCAGGCCAGACTTTACACTGAGCTGCTTCTCCTCGGGCCCCCTGCCCGGGGCCGGACGCCCAGGGATTATCCTGCTTGCAAAAGGCCTCACTGGTGTTGTGGTTTTGGCAATTACTGAAAAGAAAGCCTGGTTATTATTCCTGTCATGTGTTGAGAAATCTCTATAAAGTTTTACAGCCGCAAATGTAAAAGGGGTTTTTATTAGTTTAACATTCTTCCCTGCCCTTCCCCCTGCCCCCACCCAGAATCTCGCCCTCCGTCTCCCGCCTCCTCAGGCCTGTGGTCTCAAGACAGCTGGGGCTGGGAGCCTGGAGGTACCTGCAGGAAGCGGGAGGCCCCACCGCCTCCGAAGTCCGGGATCTTGTCCTCCTTTCAGCTTCGACACCAACAGCAGAGCTTCCCGGCTTCCTTCGCTTACTCCGCAAACGCATCGGAAGGCCTGCCCGCGCCAGAGGCGGCTGCAGGTGCTGAGCCACAGAGAGGGGCAGCACAGACACTGATTTTCAGCAGGAAAAGAGGAAGAGAAAATAAATGAGAAGATAAGTAAACATAACTACAGAGCGGGTCGGCTCCAGGTCACGCGGCCTGTGTGGTCACAGAGGACCCAGCCTTAGGAGGGTCCACCCCTAGATCCAGGCTGTGCTGGGGCCCATCTGACGCTGGATGAATCGGGGCACATTTCCTGCTTCCCAAGGTGCACAGGTCAGGTAGGTGGTCCCAACAGGGCGAGGCAACAGGGTCAAGGCAGAGACAGGCCTGGTTCAGGGGGACAGTGGCGCCTTCTCCAGCACGGTTGAGAGGGAAGGGCTCCCTGCAGAGGGCTGTGGGAGTAGAGAGCTACCCGGATCGGGGGTGAGGAGTACACGGGGTGTTCCAGCAGAGGCCAGCCAGGACCACGTCTGCAGAGGTGAGAAGCAGGAAGGGAGCCGGGTGCTCCCACGCGTGAGCACAGGAGGACAGCCAGCTAGAAGGGTTAGGAGAGTGGGACCTCGTGGGTGGGGACGGGGCTTGGGATTTATTGGGGGAATGTGAGAAGCATCATCCAACCTTTTTTTCTTAGGGGTGTCCCTGGCTGCTGCTCAGGAAATGGGAGTAGGAAGGTGTGAGCTGCAGGGAGTGCTGGGCAGAGGCTGCAGCCCCGCGGGTCTACGAGTGAGGGGCCAGGCTGCCCTGGACAGGGTCAGGGAGCAGGGAGGAGCCCAGGGGATCACTGGGCAGAGGCTGCAGCCCTGCGGGTCTGCGGGTGAGGGGCCGGGCTGCTCTGGACAGGGTCAGGGAGCTGAAAGGAGCCCAGGGAGGGGTGGGCATGGGGCATTCACGGGCTGGCTCCTGGGATCCACCTCACAGTCGCCAGCCCAGCTTCCTCCTGACATGCCCATGTGCGATTCAACTGCCGACCCAGTCTGGCAGACCTAGGAGAGACTTACTGAAGCCATCCACCTCTCATCACACCCATAGGGTCACAGACAGACACAGCGAGGACAGGTCCTGCAGCCTTTCATTAATGCTGATGCCTGGCCCGGGTGGAGGAATCACTAGGACAGAATCATGCCTAGAGAAAGGTTTAGTACCACGTCCTCATCAGCCAGCAGACAACGCATTTGCTAATTATGTTCGCAGGCAGTCTGTCCTGATGCTGCCATCAGACCAGGAAGAAAGGATGGGGGAAGGCACGTCTCTGACAACCAACCCCAGCCGGTTGTCAGCATCACTGTCCGCCTAGCAGAGGGCCGGCATAATTACATTTGCTGCCTCTTAAAATATATTGAGAGACTTCAGGCTTCATCTCCAACACAAATAGAGCTTGGAAGTTATCATTCCTGAGCTCACAAAGAAAACAAAAATGGAGAAAAATGAAAACCAACAACTTTACTTAGCTGGGTGCGGTGGCTCGTGCCTGTATTCCCAGCATTTTGAGAGGCAGAGATAGGTGGATCGCTTGCACCTGGTAATTTAAGACCAGCCTGGACAACATTGTGAGATCCCATCTTTACAAAAAATATAATAATAAAATAGCCCAGGTGTGGTGGCACATGCCTGCAGTCCTAGCTACTTGGGAAGCTCGGTGGGAGAACAGCCTGAGCCTGCTGATCAAGGCTGTGGTGAACTGCACGCCAGCCTAGCTGACAGAGGGAGAGCCTGAAGAAAGAAAAAAGGAGAGAAAAAGATCAAAAGAGAGAGAGAAGAGCTTTACCTAGACCTATCAAAGAGTTGATATCCCAGGGCAAACTCTCACCCAGACACCTAGAGAGAGAGACAGGCTGGTGCAGAAAGTCACAGCTAAAATCAGCTTGCTTGTGCAAAGCGGCTGGAGCCAGAAATTTGTAGAAACACCAAACTAGGAATTGGTGAATTGCTGGTGGCTTAGTGTGGACTAGTTGGAGAGTTAAAAACGCATAGGGGACCAGGATTTTGTAGAGTTTACCTCTAGGAGCCCTAGCGTCTCAGGGTAAAGATCTGAAGATGGTACAAAAATGACTTCAAGCCTCAGGAAAGGAAAGGAGAAAAGTGATCGCTTGAAAATACGCCCAGAGGGTTCTGTCCTGGGAACGAAAGTCTGCCCCCAAGGAAAGCAATTTGACCACAGCCTTATCTGACCTCTGGCCTTCCTCTTTCAGGAAAGGAAGAATAAAAAGACTGCACAGCACTATTAAAGGACACAGCTCAAGAACTCAGGCCCATGAGAAATAGTGAAGTTTAATCATAGTATTATATGACACTTCTCCTGCCCCAAACACGTTGTGACTGGTAGAGCTGTAAAATATAGACTCTATTTAAGAAGGAGTTTTTAGGGAAACCTCAAAACAACAAACGAGGAACCTCAGCATCTGGCATCAGCAAACCTGAAACACAACCCAGCTCCTTGGCAGATTAACATGAAATCTCATTCCAAAAGCCTGGACCCTTAAGCTCTTATTGCCAGAGATAGCACTTCCAGCTTTCAGCAAAACATTGCAAAGACATGCCAGGACACACGGAAAAGCACAGTAAGAAGAGAGGGAACAAGCACCAAGACCCAACTCAGAACTCACATATGGCGCAGAGGTTGGAATCATCAGGCGGTGAATTTTTTTTTTTTTTTTTTTTTTTTTTAGATAGAGTCTCACTCTGTCACCAGGCTAGAGCATAGCAGTGCAATCTCGACTCACTATAACCTCTGCCTCCTGGGTTCAAGCAATTCTCCTGCCTCAGTCTCCTGAGTAGCTGGGATTACAGGCACACGCCACCACGCCCAGCTAATTTTTGCGTTTTTAGTAAAGATGGGGTTTCACCATGTTGACCAGGATGGTCTCGATCTCTTGAACTCAGGATCCACCCACCTCAGCCTCCCAAAGTGCTGAAATTACAGGCGTGTGCCACCGTGCCTGGAAGAATTTAAAATAACTGTAGCTAAAATGTTATGGGTTCTAGTGGAGAGAGTATACAACACCCAAGAACAGGTAGGTGATGTAAGCAGAGATGAAAATTCTAAGAATCAAAAGGAAATGATAAAAATCAAAACACCTTAACAGAAATAAAAAAGCACCTTTGATGGGCTATTTAAGTAGACTAGACAGAGTCAAAGAAAGCATTCACAAGCTTGAATATGCGTCAATAAACACTTCACACACTGAAACACAAAGAGGAACATGTACAAAAATACAATAAATAGCACACAAGAACCATGTGACAATTACAAAAGGAGGTGTGGGTGTGTAATGGGGATAACTAAAAGATAAAAAAGAGAGAGAGGTGAGGGAATAAGAATAAGAAATATTTGAAACATTTCTGAGAATTTTCCAAAAGTAATAACAGATCCAGGGAGCTCAGAGAACTGTAAGCAGGATAAATACCAAAGACATACACCTGAGTGTATTAAATTCAAGCTGCAGAAAACCTAAGACCAAAAGAAAATCTTAAAATAAATTGGAGGGGATGCAAAACAAATGAACAAAAACCTTATCCAAGAATTATGACAGACTTCTCATCAGAAACAATGCAAGCAAGAAGAAATTTGAGTGAAATATTTAAAGTGTTGGACACAAAACCCACCACCTCAGATTTCTGTATTTAGCACAAGTATTCTTCAAAAGGGAAGGAGAAATATTTTTCCAGACAGACAAAAACTGAGTTAGTCACCAGTAGAAATGCCCTTCAATAAATGGTAAAAGACATTCTTCAAAGAGAAAGAAAATTATATAGGTCAGAAACACAGACTTACATTAAAAAACAAAGCACATCAGAGAAATAATGAAAGTAAAATAAAATATTCTATTTTCTTATTCTTAATTTGTTAAATAGACCACAGTTAAAACTGATAATAGCTACAATGTGCTGGGTGATCATAACGTACAGATAATTGAAATGAATGACAGAGGTATTACAAGGAGGGAGGGAAGAATTTGGAAACTTATGTTATGAAGAAACGATGCCTTCACTACCCATGACATGATGCAGCATTCTTTCAAAGTCAACTTAGATTAGTTGTAAATGTATATTTTTTTATGGATGCATAATTTGTAAAAAGGGAAATCACTAATTTTTTAAAAAGAAATATAATTGATATACTAATGCAAATCAGAAAATGAAATAAAAGAAGATGCTCAGTTAAAACTGGAAAAGGCAGAGAAAGAGGGTAATTAATAATAGAAGCAGATATGCTTGGTGGCTCTTGCCTGTAATCCCAGCACCTTGGGAAATGAAGGAAAGGGGACTGCCTGAGGCCAGGAGTTTAAGATAAGTCTACACAACACAGCAAGACCCCATCTCTACAAAAAAGTTTTTTTTTTTTAAATTTTAATGTTTATTTATTTATTTATTTTTAAATTCAGTCTCCATAGAGACTCTCAAAAACTGCCAATGCCAACTATAATGCAAGTTGTCATGGCAGGGTATTGGGAAAAGTTTTCAATTAGCAATAATTGTGCCTCAGAGAACACCTAATTGGCTATGATACTGACACTGCACAAAGCTGCAAAAAAGCTTTTGTATTAGTTGGGCGTGGTGGCCTTCACCTATAGTCCCAGCTACTCATGAGGCTGAGGTGGGAGGATTACTTGATCCCAGGAGTTGGTGGCTACAGTGAGCTATAATCATGCCAGTGCATTCCAGTCTGGGTGACAGAGAGAGACCTCCAGAAAAGAAGGAAGGAAGGGAGGGAGGAAGAGAAGAAGAATATATTTGCTTAAAATAAATAAATAAATAAGATACTATTGGAGCAGATTTTAAAAGCTTGAAAACCCAGCTATATATTAGCTGCAAGAAACGTATTTTAAATGTAAAGATATACATGTTACAAGTGAAAGGATGGAGAAAGATATGCCATGCTTCTAAAACTGATCAAAATACAGCTTCAGTAGCTATATTAATTTGGGGCGATGCAGACTTTAGTACAGGGAAAAAAATTATGGATAAAGACAGCCATTGCATAATGATAAAAGGGTTTGTCCTTCACAAATACATTAGAATCCTTGATGTGTATACACCTAACAACAGAGCATCCAAATACAAGAGGCAATACTCAAAGAACTGCAATGAGAAATAGACAAATCCACTATTAAAGTTGGAGACTTTAGCACACCTCTCTCAGTAATTGACAGATCCAGCAGACACAAAATCATAAGGACATAGTTGAGCTAAAGAGCACTATCAATCAACTGGATCTAATTGACATTTATAGAAGACTTCACACAACAACAGCTAAATACATGTTCTCAAGCACACGTGGGACATTAACCAAGCTAGACATTCGGGGCCATAAAACACACCTTAGCAAATTTGAAAGAATATAAATCACAGAAAGTATGCTTTCAGACCACCATGGAACTAAACTAGAAATCAATAACAAAAGCTGGATTTTGGAGATTAAATAACACACTGTTAAATGCCACATGGGTCAAAGAAATCTCAAGAGAAATTGTAAACTATTTTAAGGAAAATAAAAATATGACCTATCAAAGTCTGTGAGATGTAATGAAGGCAACACTTAGAGGGAAATTTATAGCCCTGAACGTATACATTATCAAAGATCACAAATCAATATTCTAAGTTTCCACATTAAGAAGCTCCAAAAAGAGGAGCAAATTAAGTTTAAACTAAGCAGAAGAAAAGACTAATACAAATTGGAGCAGAAATCAATGAAATCTAAAACTGAAAATCAAAAGAGAAAAATCAATGACATTAAAAGCTGGTTCTTTGACAAGATCAGTAAGAATGATAAACCACCAGCCTGGCTAACGAAGAAATAAAGAAAGGCAAATTACTTATCTCAGAGATGAAAGAAAGGGCATCACTACTAATTCCATGGACATTAAAAAGATAATAAAGAAATATTATGAACAACTTTGTGCCCACTACTAGTTGCCAACTCCAGTTCTTTACTACTGCTCTTCAATAGTGTAGTGGAAGTCTTAGTTAATGCAATAAGACAAGAAAAAATGAAAGGTGTACAGACTGGGAAAGAAGAAATAAAATGGTGCTTGCTTACATGTGTCAGGTTGCCTCTACAGAACATTCTAAATAAACACACAAACACACACACACACACACCACACACACCTCTCAGAACTCATGATCAGTAAAGCAAAGTTGCAAGGTACAAAGTCAATATACAAAAGGCAGTTGCTTTCCTATACATGCTGTCTATGAACAATGAACAACTGGAATTTGAAATTAAAAGCACATCATTTTCATTTGCACCCCTGAAAGTGAAATACTTAACTATAAATCTAACAAAATGTGTACAGGATTACGGTAGGAAAAGAAACTCTTATGAAATAAAACAAGAAGATCAAAAGAAATAGATGTTGCATTTTCATAGATCAAAGCCCCTCGTGTCGTTAATGACGTAGGAGGCAGGACTCAACTCCAGAGGCAGGGCTTGGACTCTGGACCAGATTGAAGACTGGCTGAAACAGGGCAGAGGTGAAAGCCCCTCTTCATGAGTCACGCCCACCAGCACCATGTCAGTTTACCGTCACCATGGCAACACCCAAACATACTGCCCCTTTTCTTGATAATGGCCTGACAACCTGGAAGTTACCCCCCTTTTTCTAGAAATTTCTGCATAGTCTACTTCTTAATTCTGCATCTAACTAAAATTGTATATAACTTTGCCTGTGGCACTGCCTCTGTATACTGCGCTGGGCACACTGTGTAAGGGGTAGCACTGCTCTGCAAGGAACGACATCTCTGCTGCTGCCATACACGGCTGCTGCGATAAAAGTTGCCGTTTAACACCACTGGCTTGCCATTGAATTCTTTCCTGGGCAAAGCCAAGAACCCTATCAGGCTAAGCTCCAGTTTTGGGGGCCCCCTGCCTTGCATCATTACGATGTTAATTTATCTCACATGGATATCCAGAGTCAAGGCAATCCCAATCAAAGTTCTAGTATGTTATTTTGTGGATATTGAGAAACGGATTCTGAATTTTATGTAGAAAGGTGAAGACCTAGAAGAGTCAACACATTACTGAAAAAATAACAACAAGGCCGGGAGACTGGTGCTATCCAACTTCAAGACAAGCTATAAAGAGTCAGTAAGCAAAAGAGCATGGTATTCGAGAAAGAACAGACCCATAGATCAGTGGAACAGAACAGAGTGCTCAGAAATAGACCCACGCAAATATGACTGACCTTTGGCAAAGAAGCAAAGGCAGTTCAGTAAGAATGGCTGCTCTTTGCAGTGAGTTGCTGGAGTAATTGGCCATCTACATGCAAAAAAAACAAAAATGAATTCAGACACAGACCTTGCATCATTCACAAATATTAACTCAACATGGATATTTGATCTATGTGGAAAACACAAAATGATAAAACTTCTAGAAGACATCGTAGGAGAAAATTCAGGGAGCCCTTGTTTTGGAGATGACTTTTAAGATATAACGCCAAAAGTGTGATTTAGGAAAGAAAAGTTGTTATGTTGGATTTCATTGAAATTTGAAACTTCGACTGGGAAAAGCACTCTGAAGAGAATGAAAAGGCATGCCACAGACTTGGAAACCATCGCTGCAAAACGTGTCAGATAAAGGACTTGTATTTAAAATATACAACGAAATTGTTTCACTCAATTTCCCAAAGTCCTTAAACTCAACAGTAAGCAGACAAACCCAATTTTAAAATGAGCAAAAGACTGAACAGACAGACATCTCACCGTAGGGGATACACAGCTGGCAATTAAGCATATAGGGAGAGGCTCACTAGCGTAGGTCATTAGAAAACTGCAAAATAGGCCGGGCGCGGTGGCTCAAGCCTGTAATCCCAGCACTTTGGGAGGCCGAGGCGGGTGGATCACGAGATCGAGAGATCGAGACCATCTGGTCAACATGGTGAAACCCCGTCTCTACTAAAAATACAAAAAATTAGCTGGGCATGGTGGCGCGTGCCTGTAATCCCAGCTACTCAGGAGGCTAAGGCAGGAGAATTGCCTGAGCCCAGGAGGCGGAGGTTGCGGTGAGCCGAGATCGTGCCATTGCACTCCAGCCTGGGTAACAAAAGCGAAACTCCGTCTCAAAAAAAAAAAAAAAAAAAGAAAAAAAGAAAACTGCAAAATAAAACAACAGTGAGACGCTACTACACACCTATTAGAATGGCTAAAACACTGACAATAGCAAATGCTGGTAAAGATGTGGAGTAAGAGGAACTTTCACTCTGCTTTGAAAAGTGATACAGCCGCTTTGAAAGACAGTTTAGCAGTTCCTCACAAAGGTAAATAGACTCCACTCGCACTCCTACTGAACACTATCGTCATTGTGTCTTCAGAAAAACAAAAGCTTCACATAACTATCTACGGCAGTTTTTTATTCATAATTGCCAAAACCTGGGAGCAGCTAAGATGTCCTTCAATAGATGAATGGATACAGCCTTACACTGGAATCTTAGTGAGTGATTAAAAACCAATGAGCTATCAAACCATGGAAGGACATGGCTAAATGTTAAATGCATACTGCTAAGTGCAGTAAGTCACTCTGAAAAGGCTGCACACTGCATGGTCTCGATTATATGGCATTCTGAGAAAGGAAAGCGATGGAGATAGTGAAAGTTCAGCGGTAGTCAGAAATCTGAGCCACAGCGAGGAGGGGTGAGTAGGTGGAGCACGGGGAATTTTTGGTGTGGTGAAATTGTTCTGAATCACAGCAATGCGGTAGCTGCCTTTATGCATTTGTTAAAGCCCGGAGAACTTCACCTACTCCATGGAGTAACCTGAAGGTAAACTATGGGCTTTAGTGAATTATAATGTATCAATACTGGTTCATTAATAGCAACAGATGTAGCGAACTAATTCAAGACTTTAATAATAGAGAAAAGTAAAGGCACATGTGGGAACCCTGTCCTTTCTGTTCGATATCTCTGTAAATCTGAAAAAGCTAAGTCTATTAACGAAAAACATATACCGAGAAACTGTGTCAGGTTTACAAAGATGAGGCAGTTAAACAGTCACAGCCACTACTTTTAAGGATTCACTGTCCGGCGTGAGAGTACATTATACGTCAGCCTTCATGGGCAAGTCAGGAAGGGCCTGAGATGGGCAGTGCCCAGGGTGAAACACTCAGCTCCCTGAGAGAGAGAGAGGGGCTAGGAAAGGTTTCTGTCAACTGTAAAATGTTGTGAAAATACAAGCCAGTTACTATAGTGGGGTTGCTGTGGCTCCTGCAGCATCTCACTTACCAGATTTCGATATTTACATGACTCAGCTCCGTAGCTTTATTTACCCTCCCTCCCAGAGCCCAGGAAGCTGGGGAACTGGGATTTTCTTCTAGGTGTTGTGGAAACCACTGTGTAATTGTCATCAGGGGAGTTTGAAATATTATTCTGGCTGCTATATGGCAAAGGGATTGAGGAGCAAGAGGGGAAGGAAACTTGAAGAGTAAGTCTGCAGCAAAGTAAGAATAATGGCCCAGGCATGGTGGCTCACGCCTGTGATTCCAGCACTTTGGGAGGCCAAGGTGGGTGGATCACCTGATGGTGGGAGTTTGA